TTTCCTACCGAAAGGTCTTGAAAGTCATTTTGAGCCATAAAAAAAGTTTAATTATCGAAAGTTATTGTGAATATTAAAGAATGCACACCCTCTTTGTACAAGTATCACCTAATCTTAAATTTTTTAATTGATCTGAATTTCTCCAGAATTTAAGATTTTTTGAATGCATGGAAACATTGTATTTAAAAGTAATTTTGTCTTATTAATATAATCATCGGACTCATTAAATAAGATTGAATTCGATCATCCACATTAAAAATTGGAATGTCTCTAAGAACCATGTTTTATTGTTTTTTTTTTTTTTTTTTTTTTGTATTAGAGATTAGATCTTTTTTTTTTTTCTTAAAAATTGAATCACATTTGCTCATAACAAACAAAAAATTTCAGGTGGAAATGAAAAAGAGGGCGAAAAAACTCAAATTCGACACGGACGAGAAAGGTGAGCTTTTCAACTTTTTGAACTTATAATCGAATAGACCATGGAGTTACACGTGTTGTTTAATCAAATAGGTTCAGACTGTATATTACACGGATACATGAGGAAACTCGGAGGGCCGTTCGCGAGCGCTTGGCAGACCCGGTACGCCAAACTTTATCCCAATCGGTTGGAGCTACATTCTGAATCGTCCACCACGAAAACCGAGTTGTTCTTCTTTGATCAGGTGAAATTTGCACCTCGCCGATTTGCATACACACGATTGTCACGTAAAATTGGGCATTTCGGCTACAACGACACTTACATTGATTTTTGTCGACAGGTCGAGGAGGTCAGTCCGGACTTGCAGACAGTCAAAGGGGAACAGTGCATCATCATCTCCCTGCGAGTCAAAGAGGAACAAAAGAGCAAACTCGTACTGACGAATCCTGTGAGTGTTAAATTTGAGCTTTTATGAAAAATGCAGTCGAAAAGTTCTTTGGAAAAAACTACATGGAGCATCTTTTAGCAATTTATCGCGGGGACTGTTTACCATAAAGTCATCTAAAGTGGTATCAAGATAACTAACGTTTGCATTACTTTGACAAACAAATACAATGAGAGTTGCATTTATAGTTTCACTTGAGAAAAAAAAAAACCTTATCCCTTTGACCCATCAGGTGAAATGATGAATCGATAGCTCAGCTTGATTTTTGCTTAAACTTATTAGTACTATAGAGCGCATACCATCCCCTTGCATATGTGTGACCGTGAAAAATTTGAATCGAATGATCTAAAAGCTGTACCTGCAAGAAAGCTTGAAAAGAAAAAGTAACCATGTACTGTGCATCACTTCACAGGACGAAATAAGCCTAAAAGAGTGGTCGATCTCGCTACGCTCGGCGCACAAGGCCTCGATCGAGATGTTGGGCAACATGGCGCGCAAAGCCGGCAAAATCTACGGCACCCAGCACGACACCGTCATACCCGCGACGCAACGCTCGACCAACGGCAACTAGCCCGCGCCAGCAGCCCACCACCACCGCCACGACAACCACTCCGCCTCGTCCTCCTCCACCTCGTCGACGCTATCTCTGACCTCGTCGTCCTTTTAATCGAGAGCCCACTGCCCCGTACACATACTGTTTAGCAGTAGCGTGTACAAACACCTACGAGACCCAACCTTTTTTTATACCGATCGAGGACGATGACTATTACGCCGACATTCGAGATCGCGTTCTCGAATAAACAAAGCGATGGAGTGCGATCATTGGATATTTGTATTTAAGTAGGCTTATCGAGGCGCCGTTTTTTTTAAATAACGAACGTTCAAACGTGCAACCGTTGTTTAGCCATACTTAAGAATGTTAGGTATATACTTGATAATATATATATACATATATGTGTATTGTCGCTCTCTCTCTCTCTATCTCTCCGTTGACTTGATTCTCAAGCGAAATGTAGGCTGTCGAAAGTTTTTTTTTTTTAGATTTTCAACCGAAACATATATATATATGCATGTGACAAGCCATTGTTGCTCACAATATTGTTTATTTCGGAAACTAAACGACGAGTTTCGTAAGGTCCGTTGGTCTAGACAAGTATTGCAGGAAACGTATATTTCGGAAGTGACTTCAGGTACTCTGTTTTGGAAACGCAAGCAAACGGTTCGAAAAGTGAATGAGAAATAACTTTACTCGTATCTGTAGTCCGTACAAGCTCTCGAGTCATTAGATATGTGTGTGCGTGTGTGGGTATTGAGAATAAATTTTGTAAATAGATTTTCGTGAAGGAGAGCTCGAGACTTGTTTTCAAATGTTAACCGATACCATAAATTTTTTTTATTTGAATAGTAAAGTATTCTTTAAAGTGTAAAATACCACAAGCTTATTATTAGGGTTTTTCAACTGTAATTTTGATAATTATTTTCTCAGTATACGTGCTTTATCGCTAAAATTTTACATAACATTGAATGCGTTGTTTAACAAAGTATTTATAACATAAAATTACTTCATTTTACGTAATCGGAGATAAAATTTATGTAACTACCAAGTAGTTAAAATTGTTAATTACAGAAAACAGCTCCGCCTCATGAGCTTAGTTTTTTTGTATGATAAAGGTACACGTGCCACAGCAAGCATTATCTGCTTTCAAACGCACGTGTACATGTGTGACGCTGGTCTCGCCAATTGATTAATTTAGGCGTAACGATGCTTCAACGCTACTCCATCGTAGTGATAATGATGAATGCCACTTTAGCTTGACACTAATTATGTTACATTACTCTGTATATTAGACGTTGGTGTGTATAAATACTCATTACTTGTCCGCAGTCTATGATACATGTACCTCCATAAACGTCAATGTGATGTTATTGTACACCGCATAAGTGTATTCAATTTACGATGAATTATTGGAGTTGATTTATTTTATATTACAAATTTAGCGTTTTACTTTAGACAAAAAATCTTCATCGTCTACATACCTTCAGAACTATATTATCATTCAAGGATATGAAATTGAATAGTTAAATCTTATTATTTTA